CTATCTTGAGCTAAAAAATCGAACTTCCCATTCTTATTTAAAATTGATGGAAACCTATGAAAGGATATTGTATCCCTTGCGCTATACTGCCACAATTAACAACTAAACAAACTCTAGGCATGTCCAAGAAACTTCTGGAGTACACAAAAGGTATTTATCTAAAAAAATCTAACTAAAAACTTAAAAAACACTGTATTATATCTTTGTTTTACCTCAAGGCGACTGTCAATAGTGTCAAACTGTCAGATCGTGTACTTGCCCTATTGTTGCTGGTTGACAAAGAGAGATGTAACACAAGCAAAATAAATTTTCGTACTACGACAAATGACGCGTAAAGCGTAAAACCGTTGCATTTTTTTGGATTGTAAAATATGGATGGATTAAATTAGGCGCCTTCGGCGCCCCGATACTCCGGCGCCCTAGGCCGGCGCCTAGTTCGCCACCCCTTAGTTGCGGCCCTGGGGCCAATGCAAATTTGGTGGCAATATAAGGTTCCAAGATTTTTAGAAAATACATTTTTTGCCTTTGCATTTGTGGTATCGCATCCTGTTGACACATGCAACGCTGGTAAACATTTATAAACTTCATTTTCCAGTTTCTGCACTATTAATTGGAATGATCCGTTTTTTATTCCCTTGTCCTAATTCCATAAAAAGGTAGGTTTCTTTCAGAGAACTTACTTCAATAAATTCAGAATAGTGGTAAATAAGTAATACCAGAACATTTGCATCTGCAGACTTCATCAACACTTTTTTTTTGGGGAAGTATCTGATATTCATATAAGACGTGGATTATAAGTCGTGCATCAGTCTCATCATGATTCGATTTCAAATCTTTCAATTCGGTTACACGGTTACACCAACCTTGTTGACAGAAAAGCATAACTCTGGGTTTTCAAAACCACCAGCGATGATCAGAGTTTCTTCTATTTGTCAGCTAAATGTTCCAAAATATAACCAGTTACAAATTTCAATAGAAATTCTTCATTTTCTGACAATTTTAAAAAATTCCGAAACTTCATCACTTTTCTCTTTCCAGAAACTTCATACGCATACGTATCTGCGAAGTTACTTCTTCTGCGTCTTTCCAAAGACTTGACCGATTCATCTATTAAAAACCACCGTTATCCTAAGTGCTTCATACCTTCGACCAAGTGAAAGAATTTGCTTCAGAAAAATACATGCGAGTTCATTAAAAGTTAAGTTGAAAATGCTTTATCATTTAGTCCTTGAATAAGTACCGTGCCATCTATTATAAGTGAATTGAAGGGGGTGTGACCCAAAAATGAAGTTGTAGTGCGAAAAAATCTAAGAACAAATATTTGAACCGCATCTTGCTACGATAAACCGTTTTCGAGTATAAGGGTGGTTCAAAGTGACAAACGCCTAGGCTGTGACGTCACACTGGCTTCGGAGGCATAGTTAAAATATGTGTAAAATTTTCCAAGACAAAAGTCAACGATCTCACTTAAAGCAAATTGCAACCACTTAAAGTATAGGGCACGGTTTAACCACTGAACAAACAGAAGGCTATGATTTCGGCGGTTAGCCGGTGTGACGTCACAAGTTCCCGCAAAATTTATTTTCATGAAGAATTTTCTCGGATAGTATGTTGAATGAAAGACTGCGGTTTCCACGGGAGATCTTAGATTTTTTTTCTTGATTTAAGTAGCTAGAGTTGTTTTTTTTTTAGTCACACCCTTATTTAACATGAGTTCGAAGAGAAGCGACTGTTGAATATGGTTCAAACTTTGATAATAAATCAGACTTAGCTGTTTTTCGCATACGAACGCACAAAACTGGAAAAGTCAGAAAATGCACCTCTCGGTGAATGCACGAATAATTCCGTCGCGACGCGGTTCACGATGGGCTGAGCGCACTCCAGGGCTCTTGGATAAAAATTTATATTTCTATAACCGTTAAAGTTAGCACCTTAATTTTTTTTTTAAAAACTTCGTCATTGTTTTTACTACATTACCACAATAATACACATTGCTCGCCGCAGGGTGAAGTTTAAGATGCACGATTTTGATAATTCTATATTCCTAACTTTTTAACAAAAAAACCTTGAGCCTTTTCGAAATTTCTGAACTGTCATTAAAAGCGCTCATGTTTCAAGTATAAGTGTGCAAAAAATCAGAATTTTAGATTGTATGCTTAAATTAATACAGCGGGTGATGTTTAGAAAAACATAGTTTTTCAAATTCGAGCCCAGTCACGTTTAAGGGCCGATTTTAAAGTTCAGTCCTATTAAAAAAAGTTGTACATTCCCATTTCCTATGCCCCAAAGTGTCCTCTATAAGATGATATAGGTTTCATCTGGTTATACCTCGGAATCACCCACCCTCAGAAAACAGCGAGTTAGAGCAGTGATTTTATTCCACTATAAAGAAACAGAGGAAAAATTTGTCATCATGTGTCAAAGTCAACAGGTGCACTTATTGTTGCTTGACAAATATTTTTACTTTTCGGCACTCAGTACGGATACAGACCTTATCCGCACGGAGTGCCGAAAAGTGTAACTTTGAGCACGGAAATGCGTGCGGAAATGTACTACTTTGCGCACTTTCGTAGGAAAAAAATATAGCCAACTTTGAAACAATAATAGGTGGCCCATTTTTTTTACACCTGAGTGTAGTGGCTGGAAACGACCGTCGATGACATGTTTGTCCCCCTATCAAAAGTGACGTTATGTGATTTGTGACGAAATAGCTATCGCCTAACCCATGTGTGTAAATAGTCCTTAAACACTTTGTTTGTCCCCCCATCGAAACTGAGGTTATGTGTGTGACGTCAGCTAGTGTCTAGAAGACACAATGACAAATACAAGATACAAGTGACAGATACAAAATACCAAAAAATCGAAATTTTGTATCGTGGCTTGGCAAGTAAATTGTATCTTGTATCCATTTATTCTGGGTTATAGCATTGATATTGATACACATGTTATTATATTTTTGTCTTTTGTCACTTGTACCTTATATTTGTCATTGTGTCTTCAGTCTAATTGAGAAACAAGTTTATGAAAATCAGGCAAATATAAATTTTCCGAAGAAAATAATATGCCATGTGAAAACAAGTTAAACGAAAAAAATAATTATTTGTAAAAACTCAGGAACTTTCTATCTAAACAAAAAGAAATAGAACATAGTAGTAATACAATGGTAGAGTAAAAATCAAACGAGAAGAAGCCACTGTCATCAGCGCTGACAAAGAAAGCAGATTTCCTTTTCTCTGCGTCCCTACCATTTAAAGTGAGACAAAGGATAACCCGTGTGGCTTCTTCTCGTTTGATTGCTACTCTAGTAGTCTCCACATACCAAAAGTAGAATATGCGTCCCGCGCGTCCGCGGTTGCCGCATCGAGTCGAGCAGAGCAGGCTTTCCTAGAGGTATACAACGTTGCCGTAACTTTCAAAATTTAATTTTCGATTTTTGAAGTGAAACTTCTTAAACCTAGTACTCATGCAGCGGAAAATCGCGTGGCGGACGCAGAATTTTTAAAATTTGTCCCGCAGCGGGGAAATGTCAACTTTTCGCGATATCGCAAAAAAGTTAAACTATTTTTAACTTTTGCGCGAGTTTTTATCTTCTGTCACTTTTTACTGTCACCCGAGCCTTCACCTGTGAGATTTATGGTACGACATTTGATAAAAATCACTAAAATATAATGTGAAATACCCTAAAAAATAACTAAAAATCCGCTACCGGAATCTCGCTTCATGTGAACCGGCAAAAATTACTTCTTCAACGGAAAGCGATATTCTGCACCCGCAACGCGATTTGCCGCTCCATGAGAACTAGGCTTTAGGCGGCGGTCTGATATTTGCTGCTACGATTCTTTATCTCTTATAAGATACTTTTGCATTTGCCACGCAAAGTGTTCGATAATGCTCAGCTGTTGGATCTTCTGACCCCGTAGTTTTGCACTGTGTTGATTTAATAATGCTATCCTATTTCCCTCGTCTCTTCGAGTTTCGTTCACTCTGCTTAGTGTTCCATTTTTAGTAAACATGGCCTAACTTCTCTCAGAAGTTCTTTACTTGGCCTTTTTGGCTTTGGTTCTGTGTGCATTCCTGATGCGCTTCGATGATGCAAAATTGTAAGGTTTCAACAGCTAGTTCCAACTGCTCAGAGTTTCGGATCACTTGGATGTTAAATATCTCGGCTTGGAGCTTATTAGACTTTTGGATATTTCGTTTATAGCTGTCCCACCTCGTGGTGTACTTGAGCCGATTTTTCTCTTGTTGATGACTCGCTCCAACTATCAGCTGTATCGAATTGTGATCCGATAATGTACCTTCCATCGCTCCTAACCGTGCGTTCGGTATTTTGATCCGAGTTCTCCGTGCTTGAATTTACCGTTTTTTTATTTGAAAAGTGTACTCGGTGCAGACTCATTCGCGTTCGTTTATTAAAATTTCTGGCAATTTGATACAGCGTTCAATTGCTCTGTTCGCTCGCTGGTCCCGTGATTACAGCTCCATTCAGCACGCTCTGCTCTTTGAGCAAAATAGCGAACGCAAGGTAAGTATCTGAAAGTCATCTACGACATTTCTCAGAATGGCTATGTCCAGCATATTGGTGCGCCCTATTCCAGCAGATAGGAACGTTGGTGTCTCAAGGCCAATGATAATGGCCCGTTGGGCATCTGCATATTCCATTCCTCCAGTAGGCGACCGTTACGGACGGCGAACGGGAGTTCCAGACTGGTGTAATGGAATGGTAATAATAATATGTGCAGGCATTATTTGATGCCATTGTATCTCTTATATCAAAATGTAGCTGATATTGGTAATAATTTTTTTTTATTCACACACAACCGCGCGTACACAAATTATCCCTCCTTGTAACTTCTTGCAAAAATATTGCCAGTAGGTAGCTAGATGTCCCAGATGATTAGCGGTAGTTTTATGTTATATTGAATGACATACAAATAACTTCACGAGGGCCTATTTTTAAAAGGATGGTTGGGTACCTACTTAGAAATCTTCCATGGAAATTTCAATAGGTAGGTAAGTATATTAAAAGACTCAGACCCATTTTTTATCACAACACACTTAATATTTAAAAAAATTACAATAATTCTCCTAAATTGCCGTAATAGTAACATATTCTACTTCCAATTTGCTTTTATCGTCAGACCATGTCTTGACGACTTCATCTATATTATTTACAAAATTCTTGACAGCATCTCGCTCTGTCGACCCAAATGGTTTTGGCTTTCCGGATGAAGTATACCCATCTGGAAATTCATAAGGACCTCCAACTCCTACGCCAAAAACCATCCGAACCTAAAATTAGAACATTATTTGATGATTTTTTTGTTATACACTGCGATTTGTAGAGAATAGCTGGAAATTTTTCTTTCAAATTTTGATATGCCATTCGAAGAAAAAGGGGACACAGTGAAATATCATGTTATATTTTGAAAGTCGTCCAATGCCATTTGTCAGCTTCCATGTACAGGGTGTCAAGTTATAAAGTACCAACCCCTGTAACTTTTTTATTTTTGATCGTACATAAAATAGTTAGCAGGGGGTACTTTATAACTTGACACCCGGTACTTTTTAATTTCTATTGTGTATTAGAGATTCTCTAATTTCTTTGCCTTGAAAAAAAAAGGATTTGCTCAGGAAGTTTGTCTACAAGCAAAAAAAAATACAAAGGCGACCTAAGGCACACATCATAACAAATATAGAATTACGTCGTAGAGTCGTTTTTTAAATTGAGATTGAGTATACCTAAATTATGAAGCACTAAGCATTTATCTTTTTGATGAACAGATATAGATAGTGAGAAATATAAAATTTCAAATAAGTAGACCTAATAGGTACAATTAGAAAAATATTTTTGCCCTATTTTCGAAAAGAAGGAACCCAACAAAATAATGATTGCCTTCCCCTTGATAGTCAAGAAGGTTGCCACACCTGAGGGATATTGGATTTTCTTCGTCCCTTCCCAGTTCGTTTATTCCGAGTATGTCTTATGCTGATTTTATTGTTAGGTGTTTTGGGTCTTAACGAATCTTTGCCTTCATAAGGGTTTTTGATGCAGCCTTGGAAAGATGGAGCTTTGGTTATTCCATCTGGGATCCAGATCTTTGTTTCAAAAGTAATAATGTTTTGAAAGATTTTTTGCCATTATCTGTTACTTTGGCCTTGGGTTAGAATATATGCGGATAGAAGTTAGAGCATGGGACACAATCCACTGATACAGAAGCAGAAGGTAGGCTCGGTTGAAAGGGGTGCATTCCCCTGTCTTCCAGAGGGATTGCAGAAGAATGAAGATGTGCCTATTCTACAAATACAAAATGTGATGTCATTTTTCAAAATGAACATTGGAGTAAAAATGACATTATGCAGTGAGTCATAATTCTACAATAGAGGAAATATCTTTCTTCTTTTAAACTTAACGATAGGCAATAGTAGATTGTATAATATTGACAAATGCAATGGATTTACAAATTAACATTGCAGACATATCTGAATTTTTGTCCGCATTCATTCCATAGTCCTAAACTCGTATGCTTGACTTTACGAATCAAGAGTTAAATAATACAGTATGATCAGATAATTTTATCTGCATATCTTTCATGAACTTGCCAATTTTCCTTCGTTGAATCCGGTCTCCTTGAGAGCCTGTTCTTTAATTTGACCATACTTTTCGCCATCGATAAATAAATCAATAGCATCTAGAATAAAACAAACTTGTTAGTTGTTTTGTAAGTAATGTTAAATAAATAAAAATTTACTTTGCTTCCAAATCATATTAAAGGTATGCCATTGATTTCCAATATGTTCATTGTAACGATATGTAGCTAAATTCTTTGTTCTGGCAGGTTCAACAACATTCTTATAGGGACCACCATAAAGCAATGAGCCACCCTCATCTTTCTTAGTAGTTTTCTGAACGTAATTTTTGTTCCCTCTAGCGTAAGCAACCAATATACGTCTTTTATGCTCATCGGGGTCTTCTAAATATATCTCTAGAATAAATGCAATTGTTCTGAAGTGAATAACATCAAATGATTTGGACAAGAAGTGTCGATATTTTCATATCAGTCATTCATCATTCATCATTAGTCATTCATTTCATATTAGCTAGGTACCTGGATATATGTAGTCCCCTACTGGTAATTTTGCTCTAACTGTAACGTTAATAAAAGCATATTTTGTTACCGAATGTATTCTCCCTGAAACGGCAGGCGGATTCCAAGTTGCTATAGGATCCCTCAAACAAAAACCTTTTTGAGTACATCTGTAATAAATAGAAAAGTTTTAATTCGCAAGTATTACCTGCGTAGAATAAATACATTGATTTGGAATCAAAAATCTTTATCGGTGAATATATACAGGGTGTCCCATAAAGATACCGACAAACTTTAAGGGGTAGTAGGGGACATCAAAACAAGCATTTTTGTTTATATAAACATATGTCCGCAAATGAGCCATTTGGGCTATAGAGCAAAAAAACTGTTTGATACTTTTATTCTTCGCAATAATTAAATCACTGTTTACTTTATCATCAAATAAATTATGGTTTACAATAATTGTTCAAAATGTTGACCATTTACTTCAATGCAAAAATTACACCGTCGGGTCATTGACTGAAAAGTTTAGTCTACGAAACACCTGTTCGTAATGAGGAAGATCTTATAGCAAGGATACTGGCGAGTTGTACCCATGTAGAAGCTATTCCCGGGATATTCCAAAGAGTTCGCGAGTTGAACAATTATTGTAAACCATAATTTATTTGCTATTAAAGCAAAATTAATAAGTAAACAGTGATTTAATTATTGCGAAGTATAAAACTAGACACCAAACAGTTTTTTTGCTCTACAGCCCAAATGGCTCATTTGCGGACATATGTTTATATAAACAAAAATGCTTGTTTTGATGTCCCCTACTACCCCTTAAAGTTTGTCGGTATCTTTTTGGGACACCCTGTATATAAACTCGAATTTTTCATAAAAGGTATAACTTTTGAAAGGTTTGTGAACTCTACTGTGTTGTGTGTTGTGAAAAGCAAATTATGCACCAATTGCCGCATGTAGCGGAGTATAATTCTATGAACGCGTAAATGCTGCAACTACTTGATTTAGGACAATTCAAAAACTAATTGTTTCACGTAGCATGTTGCTAATAAAAAGTCATAGGTACAATACATTCCAACTTTGAAAAACTTTGGAGAAAATTGAGAAAAAAAAAACGACGCCAGGTGAAAGTTTTCTTTAATTTGAGCCATATCAAGCCGATATTTTCAAGTAGGGGTTACTTGAGTCCTGAAAGAAACATGACAGTCCAAGATTCCCCGACCTCGTAAGGAATAAGGGGGCTCCAAATTGCGTTTCTACACCTATAATAGATTTCAAGTGTATCCATTTGAAATTTTTAAATTGATACGCTGTAGGTAGGTACACGATTTATCACAAGCTGAAAAGTAGGTACGTACTCTGTTCTTAGGTCTATTTTTTTCTGAGCGTTTTCTATCACTATTTTTGGTTGGATGTTTAATACGGAATTTGTTATTTTCACCATGTCCTTTTTATACACGTGAAAAGCCCAATCCTAAAATTAATGAAAGAACTTAATGCTTTATTACTAAATTTATTTTTGTAATTTCAATAATTACCGGGTCCAAAGATATATAGTGCTCAGTTGACCAAATCTTGGGATCTATTGGCTCAGCCGAAAATCTGTAGTCAATAATTATATCACCAGGACAGAATTTTTCACTGCTATCTGATTTCGTAACACTGATAGTATCACACTTGGCTCCGCTAGCACCCTTTTGCAAATCTTGAATTGGTGACAATTCTAAAATGGTTAGATAATAATATTTATGAAGTAGGTACCTATGTATAAGTAAGAATATTATTAGCCAAACTTTCTAAACAAAATATCCAAAACTCCTCGCTATGCCCGTTACGACATTTTTATGGGGGCGTGAACAAGGGTGTAGTTTGCAATTATTTTTGATGCCATAAGAAAATTTTCACGTGTACTTGTACAAACTTATTATGGCCTACGATATAATAAAAATCAATGGTTTCAGGGAAAATAGCTACAAGTGTGGATTTTGACGCTAATATATTGAGATATAGGAAAAATCCGCATCTAATCTATTTCCATCTATCTTGGTACGTCGATTTTTCAACGGGTTGTGGAGTTGGGCTTGGAATTTTGTCTAGAACTTATATACACCGGAAAAATAAAGCTGGTACACAAAAACTCAGCTTGCCGGATATAATTATTATTAAGCAAGTTTCATGCAAATGGTAGTATGAAATATATGTACGCGATACTTACTCTGTATAGTGTATTTTTGATCATACTCCCGAAAACCTAATTGGTTGTGTTGCACATAAATCCAATAATAAATTGTATCGCCTTTCTTTAGCCTAATGTCGGGATCAATATAAACGAATCTGTTGCTAGAGGGTTTGTTAACATACTGCTCTAAGTCTCCTTGTTCAATTTGTGTTATTTCTTCATTAATTTTGCCATGAAAGGCAAACACCTCGATACCTTCTTTGGCTAAAAAAATATATGTCATTCGAATTAAACTTCGAATTTTTTAAGAAATATATTTTATGATAAACCATCGGACTAGATATTACAAAAGGATGATTGATAAAAATATTTCTAAATATAATGCACCTATAAGGTAAATTACTAATTTTTGCAAAATTTTTGGTAAGAACGCCATCAATATTATCTAGCCTCTATACAAATTACTGTTGATTTTCCACCAAACTCCTAGGCAAATAAATCATTTTGAATATGCGGAGTAGCCTGTTGTTGTGTTGAGTAGGGTGCGTATAAAACAGACAAGTTTTTAAATATGATCCATAAAGTTTCGATGAGTACCTATACCATAAATTTTCCAAGGCATTTTCCAAGTCAGGGACTGTTAGCGCTATTTCAAAAAAGGTAAAGTAATTTTCACAATAAATGGTTGACTGAAAAGATGAGCTGGAGATGCAAGACAAAAATAAATCCAATATGCCGATAAAGAGATGCATAAAAATTTTAAAATCAACAAAAACAATAACGCCGTGATACCACCCTAAATCCATTTTGTTCCAATTCCAAGTGTAGGTACATAATAATAATAAGGGCATTAGAAAAAATTTGAAAAAAGAATTAAGAAAAAGCGATTTAGGAGAAAAAAAAAAGAAGTTATTAACTATAAACGACGCCGGCTCGTTTTTTTCATACTTCTACTAGAACTAGAGCGTTGAAATTTTCAGGGAGCTAGAACTTTTAATTCGATCGAGCCAAAACGATTTTCGTCCCCCCTCCTCCCCCGAGGCGGCCTGAGCGAGCTGTCAAAGTTTCGACTTCCGGCCCAAACGTTTCGTGGTGGAAAGTTGAAATTTTGCAGGGGGGAGGAAGGTAGACAGAAAGTAGATATTTTTCTAAGATGCTCCGAGGATTGAAACAAAAAAGAAGTAACGTTAAGTTATTTAAAAATAGTTAGACTTGGCTGTCAATTTTTCGTAGAATTCAATGACACATGTTTGTGCAAAATTGTATTTTGAGAGGTCAAATTCAGGGTCATTTACCTTATAATAATTATTAGGTGTTCTATTATTTTTTTGCCCATATAGGTAATAATTATCGTATTTAAAAAACTGCAGAATAAAAGAACATTGAATATAATAATTTTTCACAAGATATTTGATAAGATTCTTAGGCACTATCAACAATAAAATGAAACATGAGAAACGTGCGTCCAATTGCAATAATAAACCTATAGACTTTGCTATTTTCCTCAGAGTTTGTTTTCTAAATGATTTCTATATGTATGCATTTGTTAGAACAGAAACAAAACAGACATTTTAAAATAATTTTGACATTGCATGATTATGTTATATCTTATCTTACCCGGTATAGAAATTCGCAATCCTCGTGGTTCAAAAGCTTCAATATCTAACTCCGGAATTTTGAATGGTTCATAGCAAAATGCAACACCGATAAATATTATAAATGCCAAACAAATTTGTTGTTGATCCATCGAAAAACCGCAAATATCTACTGAATGTTAATAATATGCATTGTAAACTTGATTTTGCCTTAAGACCTTGCGCTTGTCGTGGTACAGAACCAGAGGCGGATTAAGCCTGTCGAGTCACTTCATTTGAGGTTTAGGTCTGTCGAACCTCATTTGATAAAAATCATATTTTATGCCAAACCATTGATTTTTTCATGCACCGCATACTAACGTTGGGTTTCATGGAAAAGGTCTTGAGCTACAAGTGTTAAAAACCATTTTATTCGCTACAAATATTTTGAATAAAACAATAATTGAAATTTTCTATAAAAATGCACCAAATCTTTGACCAATCACATTTCAATTTCTATCTTTCCAATTTCGTATATACCTACACACTTTCATGTTATAGGGACCTTGAATCTTTCACGGCAAAGTTTTTCATCAAATATGCCAACCTGCTTTTTTTTTTAATTTCTTTAATTTCTTTTCGCGAGGATCTGACCTTCATCATATATCACACAAACAAACTAATGATAATTAAAACAACATAACGTTTTCTTATATTATCTAATTATTTATTTAAAAGTCGATTGATCACATTTAAATTTGTAAACTAAATTATCGCACTATATTTGCTTTTATCGTCAGACCAGGTTTTTAGTATTTCCTTTCAATTATTTACAAAATTCCGAATAGCTTCTCTTTCAGAAGACCCAAATGGTTTTTTCTTATTGTCTGACATATAGCCATCTGGAAATTCATATGGGCCACCAACTCCTACTCCAAAAACAATGCGAGCCTAAAATTTAAACATTTGGCAAAAATCTAGCGTGGGAAATAACAATAATTATAGTCATGCACATTAATTTAAGATTCACTCGCCAGTCTTCATTGAATCCGGTTTCTTTGAGAGCCTCCTCATTCATTTTACCGAACTGTTCTCCATCAATAAATAAATAAATTCCACCTTGAATTAAGATAATTCAGCTATCAGAATATTTTAAACTCTTTATATAAAAATTACTTGGCTTCCAAATCATATTAAAAGTATGCCATTGATTTCCAATATGTTCGTTGTATAGAAATGAAGCCAAATGCTTACTTCGGTCAGGTTCTTTAACATTATTATAGGCACCACCATAAAGCATTGACCCACCTTCATCTTTATAAATTTTTTCTAGTTTTTTTTCCAATGTACTCTTCGTTATCTCTTGCGTAAGCTATTAGTATACCTACGTCTGCTAATCTCTCGAGGATCTTCTAAATATATTTCTAAAATTTGTATTTTTTTAAATATTTTTTTTTTAGTTATTTCTAATAATTATGGATAGTTCGCCACAATCCTATCAATCGTACTTTTTTATCAGAATGCATGAGTTTGCGATACTTTGGATTTTGGAACAACCGTGTAGGTACTTAAAGCACAGATCACCTAATACAGATGCGTAAGTACGTATACTTGCTGTCGACGATATTCTGTGACGAAGCCGGGCCGCCAGCGGCCCCACGCATAGATAAAGATCGCCCGCGTCAGGACAATTAACGTGGCCGAGTGCGTGAGCATGTTCCAGCCTGTGTGTTTACATATTTTTGCGGGTAGAAAAAAAAATTTTTTTGCTGTTTGTGAACCAATTAAAGAAATAATATTATATTATTGAGCTTCCGCATTTATATAATAAATATGTTCAAAATACATTGATGTGGCATTGGTGCGGCCAGCCTATGTCTATCAAATTAATCTTGAACCACGAATTCGCCGCTTTTTCGCATCTGTATGTAAGTAATCTGTACTTAAAGAATAAACAGCGTGATTATGAAAAAGAAATCCGCTTTTAACTTCTCAGTTCTGGAAAAAAATCAAATGAAATTTGGTAATAGTTTGGTATTTCGAATTAATAGGAACTTTTCACATAGTCACATAACTTCTGTGACTATCTTGGTTTGAAATAAGCTGAACTTTCTTATTTCGAATCGGTTACCCATTCAAAATAAGAAAGTCTGGAATATTTCGGGTAAATTTGGAGGTGACAGAAAACTAGCGAATATATCAGAAAAATTCTCTTTTTTTTTTCAATAACAAGAAAGTTATAGCTGATCCCTTGTCAACCGCGGTGTATTTGTTTGTAAGGCATTATAATAGGTCTAGATTTTTTGAAATGGCAATTATTATTGGGAAACGGAAATATTTGTATAAGATTGTTTCATCCGACTATATAGTCTAGGGATTCTTTTTATTTTTTTTTAAATTCATTTTCATTCATCTGATTGTCTCGGTGTTGTATTATTTTTGTTATTGTTTGTTTGTCTCTCCGTTAGAGCAGCTCGTGAACATTGGTGTACTAATAGACCAGGAAATTGAAACCGACTCAGAGACTCTGGACTTATTTCTCAGATCATGCGCCATGTGTCCCTGGCTCCCTGGGAAACTATATTTTCAGGAAACTACTTGACGTCTTGAAAGTTCCGAACCCCACTTAGCAAGCAAATGACGGCGCCCGAACATCTCCGACGACCGTACCTCCGAAACTTATCCATCTTTTGACCGGAATTCCTCACTCCCTTGTCAAGTTTACCTGAACACGGAGTTGGTGCATGTGGTTAACAGGAGACTCAACCATTCATCCATAAGTAGCCTTACGTTCTGTAAAAATCATTGAACATGTGTAAGACATAGAGAGTATATCGTGGAAGCAGCAAAATTCCGACTCCCTGCAACATCGCTTTAGATTTCTAAGCGGATTGTATCTCCCTGCTAAAGGAATACTTAAGACTGACAAACCCTTTTCAGAAGTCCTCTAAAAAAATCTTCAAAAGAAAACGCCAAATACATTATAAAATCCATAGAAACACAAGTTCCGACTAGCAGCAACACAATTACAAAAAACCTACCACAGCAGTACTACGCTCCACAACTAAGACACACAGTACAGTTTTTCTAGTTTTCCACGTGGTCTTAGGATAGTTACTTGACCGAAAAGAAGGAATCTTATATTTCTCACTAAAGGGAGAAGGATGAAATGTTGTTTGCGAATATATAAACCTCTTGAAACAGAATCATTATGTTAGGAATTCGAAATTTGAATGTTATCATTAAAAGCGTAAATCTAAAGCGCCCCACATTAGAAATCAGTTTCTTTGTGTTCCTAAGATATACTGCGAGCTTTTTGGCAAACCACCTCTCTCTTTAGAAAGGTTGTTGTTTTGCTGTGTGGATACGCATCAAAGTTAGAGAACTCCGGGGAAATAGTGTGATTTCGTTCCTCTGATGAGTTAGAAGAAACTCCAGCCGATAATTTTGTAGGATTCTAAGAGTCGACCTAATCTCAATCCTGAGAATCTACACGCGGCAACGTGATTTTTGTGGCAGATCGGGATTGGCTCCAGCAAACTGGTTATAGTATGACCTTGTCTTGCCCGAAAGTCTCATCATTATTTCGTGCATTGAGAAATTATAATATGAAAGAAGAAAAAAAAAAAAAAAAGTGAAAGTCAGTGTCCGGAGACAAGACTGAGAGCCATACCGCTTTCCGGACACATATGTCACATGCACTGGCTAAATTGCACTTTTGGGCAGCAGAAGCCAAGAACCCCAGTGATGAAGAAGAAAGAAGAAGGAGGAGGAGAGTTTTTTAACCTTGGTACTCTCATGCTTCTGGATGTCTTCCAAAGTCTACGAAGTTTACTAGTAAGGGGTAAAGGTAGAGCTGAATGTTAGATCCGTGATCACCAAATCGATGACGATATAGCCAAACAATACTCTAGCTGTCCATTTGATGAACAATAACCGCTAAAAACCTGCTTCACATTTGTTTCACAGCGGAAAGGCCTGTTTTGTCTCCTGTCCGTATAGGACCACGCTTCACCTGGTTATATGATTTAGCCTTTAGGAGGCATCGGGATAAGTCTGTTGTCTTCTTCACGAAATAATAGTACCTGGGCATAAAAAATTCAGTTTATAACATTTGTGTTACCTGGATAAATGTAGTCTCCTATTTGCAATTTTGCTTTGATTGTAACGTTAATAAAAGCAAAATTTGACAATTTAATGTACTCTGCCTGAAACAGCAGGTGGATTCCAAGTCGCTAGGGGATCCTGCATACAAAAACCTTCCTGTATGCATCTAAAATTAAATTAAAAACAATTTACATAGAGGGAAAAAATTGAACTCAACAAAACTGGGTCGAACTCGGGGTTGAACTTTCAAAATGCAAATGTGACGTTTTATTGAGAAGAGGCCAATTTTTCGCTTTTCAAGTGCTTTATATAAATTTATTCCCACAAAGTTGTGTTTTAGTATATACTTTTTAAGCAGTGTAATTAACAATAGTTCATAAATAAACCATTTAAAACCCAAAGTTTTCACAGTTGTATATCAATAGATAAACATATCAAGAGTGTTCTAAAAAACCTTGGTCCCAATGTGTACTTGGAGTATGAAATGAAAAAGTGTGAACGTAGGTATCAAGGCATCGAGACACGAGCATATTAGTACGAATAAGATAAGACTCTAATTTGAAATTCCTCTATTTTTTTTTTCCATATGGCTAGATTGCATGAGAAACAACAACAGCGTTATCCGGATCAATCCAGAAGTCTTGTTTGCTACAATCCCGAATCAGTTCGTCCCGATCTGACTCTATAAAGATGCACCACCTTGTCTTCCGCGTCTATCTCCTGATTCGTAATGGTTCCATATATTCAGGCGTCAGGTCTTGGTCCACTTAGACCGCTCGGCCTTCCTGACTTCCCAAATCTACACTCATGTTTGCGTAGCTCTTATTTCCTTGGACTGATGGCACGGAGACTGAAACAATTGCTACCTATTTCCTGTTGACTGCCATGCTGCCAGCTACATTTCCTGCGCCTTCGTGGATGGTCGCAGAACTTGATGGGTATCTGTATATTGGCGGTTAGAAGGATGATTTAGACCTTTTGGATCAGCAGTTACATTCCAACAATCTTCTTGTTCTTAGTTTTTCTCTCTTCGCTTGCCGGATTTTTAGTTTCCACATTTTGTTGATCTATCGACGGTTTCCTTAATGTTGAGAAGCAATTCGATTTCGATGTCACTCCCTCCAACTATTAGCCATTGCAAC